TCACCTAGGTTGGTGTGCCACTCCATTTGGGAGATACATAGAAGCTCGCCCAATGGATTGAGGAGAGGAGGGACTTTTCGGCTGCTTCTTAAAAAAATAGATTGATGTCTCACAGAAAACACAAACTTCTGATGACTGAAACCACGAGACGTTGTTTGGTAGTTTCACTGGCGACGTTCGGTGGCAGTCTCCATCTTATTGTGACCTCGTCGTTTTGAATATCTACGATCTCCACAGGGTCCACCTCGAGAACTGAAATAATCTGGAATAAACTCAGTAAAATGCTTCAATTGCTAAGGTAATCAAAGTTAATGGAAAAATGGTTCCCTGAATCATTCCGGCGCGCCTCATGTCCATAGGGGAAACATTCGAAGGTATTTACAGGCAAATCGCGGGATTAGCCCAACTAGTAGGAAGGACACTGCGAGGGAAATCGCAAGGTCCGTACCTGGCTAGATCACCCCAGCTTTCTGAGGGTGCTGACCGACGCTGTAGGAAGCAGTGAAAGATTTGACCTTGGCGATCTAGCATGGCTCACTCTTGGCGCAGTTGGCGCGGTACGCCCACCGACATAGCAGAGAGAGCGTTAGCGTTGGAGAGGGCACGATGAGAGTCGCATCAATGAGGAAATCAACGGCAAGGAAGGCATCTGAAATGGGTTGTCTTTTTAGCGTAAATCCCCGCCTCCAAAGCAGCGCCATTAAAACTACGCTCATCAAATGTTATGCTTGTGTGAAGCCATGTATATCAATGAAGGCTGAGTTATATAGTAACAGTATCGTGGTGGTGTAAGCCCCGACAGGAAAAAAAGCTATACAAAATCGACCCTTCCGCGCATCAACTGCTCTCAGCTGTTATCGTTGTGGTTGAATCTCGCCTACTACAAAACGCACCTACTCGCCAACGGTCACTCCGCAAAGCCGCAACAGAAACACATGCAAACTGCGAGGTCACTTACATTTGGTAAAAATATACCGACTGCTGTTCAACTGAATCAGCTATTCAATTTGACAAAAACATTGTACTTGAGGATGTTCATAATTTTCCCTTTGATAGCATGCTCTCATCTTCTCTTATCGAGAATTATTTTTAACTACTTGTCTCCTGTTCCACCGTTTTTCAACTATTTTCTCTGAGAGAATACGCTCGCTTGATTGACAGAGCCCAAATTGTAACGTCGACACTCATTAATGTCAACGTTTTTATCAATCTTATGAAATATATTGTTTCTCCACAAGTGGTCTTCGAGTTTAGTCTTTGGAGAAAGTGCAGATGTAGCCAGTTACCCCTTTTCCACACCTATCGAAACACCGTTGAGAAAATGGACGATTGAGCACCACAGAGGCGAGATAGAATTCAAGTGGGATGAAAGGTTTGAGCTCGCGAAAAGAAATGTGCACTACCTAATTCCAATCCTTCCACTTTGCTATACAACTAATTCAGGGATTTTTCCCCTCCCTCCCCTTTCACATACGCTTTCAAACGGTGACAGGTGAAAGGGCCGCAGATACGTACATAGCTCCGTCACGCCTTCGTTATTCTAGAGCCCCAGGTCCCGATAAGATCTATGAAAGAATTCTTTCTTGAACTGAGGTAATAGGACCCTAATGGTTGCACTGTAGTGGCTCAGTTATGCACGAATTAGGAGAGCTAATGCCCTCACCTGTATGCATATAATAAGCACATTGAAATAGGATAGGAGAATAAGTTCGGTCACGAAAAAGAGGTGAGTTGTGAGAATCACTCTAACTTCGGAGCCCGTAGCAGAGGAATGGAGGTAAGCATTAGTAACGTTAGGTGAAACACTTACTGTTGTTTAGCTGGCACGCAGGAACGTACAAACCTATACGATTTGCCAGAAATGTAGACTTTTAAAAGTATTAGCTTTGGGAATCCTGAAAATCGTACCAACTCACATCTCTGTTGCTTGGAGGAGTTCCGCAGGAGCAGAGTTAACCCACAGATTTCTCAATTTTCGCTTTCCCCTCCCCTTTCGGAGGGTTTAAGTACGACGACTTTTCACATATTTTCAGGCCCATCATCGGTGTATAGGCCGTCACCGACATAAAGCGCTGGTGGACGGTAAGTACTCGCGCTTTGTAAGACGAGAATCGAGGCAACATGGAATTTTGCTAAAATTGAATAAGAGTAATTTCCAAATTTCTGTTTGTTCCAAATTTTTGGGCATGGCAGTAATCGCGAAGATTTCTTCTTTCAGGAACCAATCAAGTTTTTTTTTTCGAAATCGCAGATCTACTCTTTTTATAAACTGAACATTTGAACCTTGCAACCTAGCAACAGAACCGTTACAATGCAAACCTCTTCATTCAAAATGTTGTATACTTCTTCAAAAGCGGTCACATGTGATGAGATTAAAAAATTCCAAGATTTAATTGTTTCCTTTCCAAAAATTTTTAAATGTTGCGAATGTTCAATTCTTCAAAAAATCGTCCCGTTGTTCCGTTTTTTGTGCACACGCGAGTTTTCGACATTCAAACATTCATAACTTTCTTCATCAACTTTTTGCAGATGTCTAAGGCTAATTAGAAACTAGAAGATTAGAGCTTTCGAACAAGCACCTGAAAATTTTCCAGCGATCATTTTTTCAAAAAATAGTCCCGTTGTTCCTTTCAGGGGTTTGTGGTCCGATTTTTGAGAAGGCGCGAGTTTTCGACATTCAAACGTTCATAACTTTCCTTCATTATCAACTTTTTGCAGATTTTCAAAGCTAATTAGAAACTAGAAGATTGACGCTTTTGAAAAAATATCAAGATTTCCAAATGACCAATTCTTCGAAAATTGCCCCGTTGTTTCGTTTTTCCGTCAACGGCTTTTTTAGGCCACTCTCTTGAAATGCCTGTACTCAAATTTCAAATGGTCGTAAGTTAAAGTTGGTACACTGAGAAGCGGTAAAGCCCACTGAAATCAACAAGATCTCTGATTGCATCTTGAAAGGAAAACCTTTCTCCTGCCATAGGTTTCTATTAGTACTCCAGAGGTCAATCAGCCGAATTCGCTGCACTTTCCTCCACTTTGATTTGTTCTAAAAGCATGGGAGTTTCTCTGGAGAATTTTTCGCTTGTGCTCACTGGAACATGACGTATTCTAGTAAGAAATCTCGCTCCACGCCTCGGCTACTTTTAATTTCGTGAATGGTACTTAAGATTATGACTCCCTCCTCTTTCCTTGGCCAATGCAACCCTTCGTCCTTCTTGGCGCGACGGTCGGTTGACCCTGCGCAGGAGGCCTTTGTTACTTCTATGTAATATTAATTTTTAAGGAAATTATTTGCATTTCCGAGCACATCCATGTATATTTCCGTCGATTTCAGGCTCTCATCATCTCTCGAAGTCATCCGTATCGGTAAATGTGGGCACGAAACAACGCTCATACACATTCAAAAATCTCATGGGAAACACCACCTACAGGGCTTCTGTGGAGGCATTCGGTGTGGGTTTCAGTTGACAAGCGATTGGTTTCGATTTTGCAAGTCAGTTTTTTACGAGGCACCTTCAGGGAGATGTCAGCCTTTGGTATGCCAGCAACGTCTTCACTACAAGCCTGGCATGTGAGTGACTATGGAATTATTAAGGCATAACCCAGTTTTGCCTGGCCGTGGAAGAAGTTGATCTAGTTTTAAATGATGAGCAGAGAAATCGGACATGTTTGCATGAATTTTGTTGCTAGAATCATCCATTATGTTGCTTCCAGCCTTGAACTGGCTACCTGCTCCAACGGACATTGTCGTACTTGACAAGACCAATACATCGTTGGAGATTTCTTGGTCGGCGCCGATTATCCATGAAGCCGGCCACAACGCCGTCATCAACCAGCACTTGGTTTGTTTCATCTACAGAACTATTCGCAAGCGTTGCTCTTGCCTCTGAAAGGCCGGAATTGGGGAGGGGGTTGAAGCAGGGTCAACCGTCCGTTCGAACTGTTCGAACGAAGGGGTCGCATTTTGGTCGGAAGGGGGTCGCAATTTCGAGGACTGCCAGCCACAGGCGCGTGCGTGGCGTATCCGAGGGCAAGACTTGCTTGTGCAGACCGCATTAGATTCGATTTATTATGCACAGAGAGACAGTTTTAGGCAAATTACGGTGTTTTCTTGAGGAATAAAGAACAGTTGAATGCATCCCTATGAAAGGTTTGACTTCTCGGGGCTGAAATTAAAGTTCTTCGGGACCTAATTTTCTGAGGACGATTCTTCCAGACAACGGTAAAACACATAAGAAAGCAGAAATCTCGTAGTCTTCAAAAATGTCTTCGCCCCTCCCCAACAAGTTCTTTGAAGGAAGTTATTATTGCTGAAAGCTCAAAAACTCGCATGTGCTGCTCAAAAACCTATGGGAACAAAATGTTCGAACGTGTGATTTTCTCGAAAAATGAACTTTGAAAAACGGTTTGGTGCTTGTTAGAAAGAGCAAATCCTGTACTTTCACCCCATGAAAAAAGTGCATCACAGAAATGAAAATGAAGTGAGTTATGGTCGCTGAAAGCCCAAAAACTCGCTTTTGCACGAAAAATGTTCGAACGGGACAATTTTTGAAAAAGGGGACAATCACTAAACTTTTTATACTGTTTTGTTAGAGAAATATTTGAAGTTTCTGAAACTTTTTACAGATTTCCAAAATGTCGCATACGAAAGATTTTATGGGCCTTCAAAGTTGAAGGTGCGCCTTCTTAGAATTTTGGGTTTTCCACTTCTAACAGAAGTACTTTCCGGAGAGTTAGGCAATCCTTGTAGTTTTCTGAAAGCGCACCTCAGGCACAGTCAAAATCTACCTCAACAAGTCAAAAAAGTACGTCCCAAGAAAGTTATTCCCCTCTAAAATTTTTTCTTCGCCGCGTCCCGTTCTTCCAGCGCCCGGGTGATACCTGCCGCGCTCCAAGGCTGACGCCGCAATGCAGACGCTTTCGGCGGCGGCGCAGACGCTTTCTGGCGCAACGGATTCATGTCTAGCACTCTTATTAACAAAAACAGGGGGTCGCAACTGGACCCCTCGAGAGCTAGGGGGTCGCAAAAATCCCGAAAATGTTCGAACGTGACGGTTGACCCTGGTTGGGTAAGCGTAACCTAATTTTTCTCGCAGAAATATTGAGACGTA